CCGCAACCATGACACACCTTAGTTCCTGCATCCGGGAAGAAATGCTGTCACAGCCATTTAACGGTTGTTCTTCCACTTTAGCAAGACAGATTTTTTTGACTTTGGTCTCAATGCAGCGTGTGATAGACGCTTTACCACTTGCTTCCCCTGCAGCTACCAACTGAGTGAAGTGTCCAAGGTCATTTTCAAATCTGTAACACATTAGCCTTTCTCTTTTGTCAGAAAACTGAGAGGTTTTTTTTTTTTTTTTTTTTTTCACAGGCTCTGGACGCGCAGGCTTAGCGGCCATGGCTCACGGGCCCAGCCGCTCTGCGGCATGTGGGGTCTTCCCAGACCGGGGCACGAACCCGCGTCCCCTGCATCGGCAGGCGGACTCTCTCAACCACTGCGCCACCAGGGAAGCCCTTTGAGAGTATTTTTTAAAAGCTAAGTTGTTGCTTACTTTTCCACATGATGCTTGAGGTTTGTTTTATGTGAAGAATTACAGACTCCTTCCAAGTTTTATTTCTTTACTTACAGAAAGTTTTGTAATGAGACTTTTTTCCTGGAAGAAAAAAGAAAGAAAAAGAGAGAGGGAGAGACGAAGAATGGGAGCGAGGAATAGTGAAGGGTGGGGGGCAGAGAGAGAGAGAGGAAAGGAGGAAAGAAGGAAGGAAGGAAGGAAGAAAGGAAGGGAGTTAGTGGGAGGTATCTCTTACCTGATTTCTGAGGCCCTAGTTGTTAAAGAACAGGAGGAAATCTTCTCTGGGTTTTAAAAGTTGATCTTTGTATGGCTTCACCACTATATGCTATGTAAGTGTGTCAAAGTTTTGTAGTTGTTGTTTTAACCTTAACCTTACCTTGTAATGTGAAGTGAGGTTTTTCCAGTGGGAAGGCAGCTGTTACAGGTCGCGGTGGAGGGAGAGGTGGTCTGCTGCTCACGAGGGGCCCTCGCGAATTATTTTCTGGGTTGTCTCCAGGAATGAACGTGTACAAGTCATCATACTGGTTCTCACTCCCACTGTCAACCTCTGGTGGGCGGTGCTTGGCCTCCGTGCCTGATTCATGCTCCTTTTCTTCCTCTGCCGTTTCATCCACCTCTGCTCCTTCTGCCCTCTGCCTGTATGGCCACCAGATTTCATGATGGAGAACTGGGCTCTGTATGGCTGCTTATGATGAAGATTGTATGATTTCATGTAAACACACCATCTGGAAGCATTTCATATTTTCTAACTTTGTACAGAAGTGGTGGTAATGTTAATTAAACTTTTATTATCTGATACAGGGGAAAGCTGACAAATGCATAATTTTGGTGAATAGTCATTCCTGGGCTTTTATAATATTTACCAAAGAAAGCTCCATTATATCTTGCTACCTCAGTTTATGACACTCTCATACACATAATGATATATAATATTCTGATACTACATGTATATAAAAATATTCTGATTCTCTAGTTATTTAACCAGATTTAATATATGACTGCATTACCATATTTTTATTAGAAAACAATATAACTAACCTAATAAGTAATAAGTAAGTGATGGAAAAGGTAAAGGCAAGGAACAAAAATCTTAACTTGCCTGTAAATAATGCAATGAAATGAATCTGTGGTTTTTATTTAGTTACTATTTTAACATATTTATCACCAGATGGCATCTTAATTCTTGAAAATATTACTTGAGAAAAGTGTCAATATTTTTTGATGGGGAAGGCATCCAAATCACCAATAGTAAGTAAGTATTTTTAAGGCTCAGTTCTCTCACCAAAAAATCTTTTCTATCCTGAAACTTAACCAAATGATTCAGTCACATTTCCTCCATTCTAAGAATCATGATTCCATTATTTGTGTTTATACTGTACACAGTAAAATGCTCTCTAACCACTCAGGGAGAAAATAGAAAAAATATATTATAATGCAATAACGTTAAATCTTAAAACTTTTTTCTTTATATTTTCTTTATAGAAATTCTGCTCTAAATAAAGCAATCATACAAAGTTAAAATGAACTTTGGAATCTCTGTATTGGAGGGAAAATGTGACTTGCTGTCATGAATGCAATAGAAAAGCAAATAATTGTTGTTTCAAAGTGTCGCTAAACTAAAATATAGCTAAAGAAGATAAATGGCAGAGTACAAAGAGGAATCTTTTTTTTTGATTGAAGAGTTACACTGTAGACATTTTTCAGCAATGAGAGAAAAGTTAGTCATGTGGGAAAATCATGCCCATGACAGTACTACATATTTCTACATGAATTTTATTTTTAATTTCTCTCTTTCATGTGAGAAAGAAGAAACGTCTAGCTGCCAGTATTAGAACTGCAAACCAAGATTCTTTCATTACCAGCCTGGGTAGAGCAGGTGGACTTTCATTCTTGCACAGATCTCTGCCCAGACCTCATTCAGCTTTCTGGCTGTAACCCCAAACACAGCCTGAAACACAGAAGTCTCTAGAAATATTGATGGAGTAAATGATGGAGTGGCTGAAAAGAAATCATTGCTGATGCTTGCAAAGGGGATTTGCTATTTCAGTCTGGGAAAATCGATCATCAGCTTAGAATTACATTCATGCTACAGGCAATTACTTGTAGCCACTCTTATGTTTATGTATTTGGTGTTTATATTTTACATAAACACTGCCTAAGCAAGCAACAGAGTCTCTTTGGTCCTTGTTAAATATCCCCAAACCTGGAATACAGCCCTGGAGAGTCAGATGTGGTTGGTCAGTGAGTTTTAGCAAGCTTCATAGCAGTGGTGATACCAATGGAAATCTGCTGACTTAGGGTGTTCTATGCTTCACCCTCACTCCAACGAAAGAGTCAGAGGCTTGAGTCCAGTCGCACAGAGTTTCGTATATGAGACAGTTCCAGGTCCAAACTGTCTGTAGAAATGAGGTTGTGCTGTACCAATAACTGAAATAATGTCTTCTTATCATAGGTAGTACTTCAGAGGGTTAAGTGGCATGATAAATGTATGGTCATTATCAATGGTGGCCTTTATCATCACTTTCATTATCATTAAAAAGTATAACAAATCATTAAGTCATTAAAAAGATAATAAAATGTATAACTTTAAAACAGTGCATCAATTTATTACATTAATATTTAGCATAATTTTGTGTTCTGCAATAGTGTCTGAAGAGTTTACTGACTTTGCCAAAGTATGCTAGTTAAGGCATTGTGTTTAATGTTATTTGCTTTGCTGGTCAGCCCATCATTTGAAAAACTGGTGGTCAATAACGTTTAATGGAGCATCATCTGCGAACTGTTCAAAGTGCAAATGACCTGAGGCAAGAGCCTGCTTGATGTGTGAGGTGTCACTTTGGCTGTGAACAAGCGAGAGAATGGTCAGAGATGGGACCATCAAGATTATCTAGGGCCTTATAGGTGATGATAAGGATTACAAGTACCATGGGAAGGTATTGGAGAATTTGGAGCAGAAGAGTGATTAGTTCCTTTCTGAAGCATAGAATATTAGGGGCAAATTGGGAGGAAGCTATTGCAGGGTTTCTTAATGGCATACTACTGGCATTTTTGACAAGATAATCCTGTGTTTCATGGGGCACATCCTGTGCATTGCAGGATATTTAGCAGTATTTCTAGCAAAACTCCCTTCTCAAAATAATGACAAAAAAAAAAAAAATCTCCATTCATTGACAAATATCCTCTGTTGGGGTTAGAAAATAGTGCTTCATTGAGAGCCACTGTGCTATTGCAATAATCCAGGGGAGAGCAGATGACAGCACGGATTAGGATAAGTAACAATGAAAGGGTGAGGAAGGTCTGGCTGTTTTGCGAAGGTACAATCCACAGTATTATCTGACAAATTGGATACAGGGTAGGACAGAAAGTAAAAAAGGGTGACTGAAGTTTTTGGACTGAATTGAACAAGGAAGGAGTCTTCATTTACTGAGATGGGGAAGTCAGCGGGTAGAGCAGATTTGGGAGTGGTGGGAATTAGGGTTTTCAGATTTGGAAATGTTGGGTGGGAGACGGCTATCAGACTTGCTGGTGAAGATGGTGAGCAAGCTGCTGTATACCAGTGGAAACAGGCATGATAGGTAGCGTTATGTACATGGAGGAAGACTCTCAATTAGTTTTCTAGAATATAGAATTACATTCTATTACAGCCAGCAGGGAGCGCAGAGTCCTAATACAAACTTCTCATTTCCTAGCTGAGAAAACCAAGGTCTGAAAAGAATGTGACTTTGTTTAAAAACTTTAAAAATATAGTTGTCAAATAGAATGTTTATATCAACCTGACTTGTGTATTCTATTTGGGTGGGAAAAACTGCTGGTTTGATTATTAAACACTGAACTTATTAGAAATATTTAAATTAGCAAGATAATGTAGTCATACCTCTACCAGATGATACACTAAAAGTCATTCAGTTAATTAAATATCTTTCCATGCTCTCCACGCTTTTCTATGCTCTCTTCAGTTTTACTTTATCAGTCACATATATCTTAATACAAATGTTGTTTATGTACGTAACATATAGGAACACTTACCAGGAGAACATGTAGAAAATGAGGTAATATCCTCTTCATAGTCATTTTCTTCCTCATTATTTCTGCTACCTTCTTGGATCTGAAGACAAAAAGGAATGTAATTTTCAATTATATGTATTAATCTTAATAAATCTGCATTTTCACACATACTAAATTGACAGCTAATACTTTACATATCTTAGCTATTATATTTGGGCCATCTATAATTTTTTCAATGACACAGTATTAAAAGTGTAACTGGAACAATATAACATTTACAATAAAGAGCTTTTTAAATGGAACTTTTTTTAAGATTCACAGCAATAATTATGAAATTTTTACAATAAATAACTCCTGAATAAAAAGGAAGGCAACTATTTCTTTTATGAACCATGAGCTTTGCTTCCTTTTGAACATTTCTGGTATCTTTTACCAGTTCAAAAGATATTCTTAATTATATCAAGGATTATAATACAGTATAAGACAGTGAAATTTTAAAGTGGTTTATTTTCCATCTTTAAAAAGAAAAAGGAAACTGGGTAAGGGAATTTATGTTTGTCTTTCTGAAATCAGTTCCACTACACTTAGAAGGGAGAATTACTGAGAAAAGCATAGAAGCCCGCTTTTGTTCCTCTGGAATTGCTACTGTTTGCTTATAATCTCTGAAGGAGGCATGGGGTCTAAAGTAGTGGAACATATTGGTGTCTGTTGAGAAAGCTAAGTAACTCCAGTGATAGCTCTGTTTGTACAAAAGCATGCAGAGAAAGAGACGGAGCTTGGTTGCATTAACATAGGTCACATTTCGTTACCATGAACTCCAAGTGATTATTCAAATGATTTACGCTTTTGTTCTTAATAAAATTGAAATGATTAGTCCATTTGCTCTACGTTTGGAATGTCCCTTTAAATTACTTTCCTCTACACCAGGAACTAACACGACACTGTAAATCAACTACACTTCAATTAAAAAAAAAGAAAATGAGCTTCTGCATCAGGCTCACTATAAAAATATTCAAGAATGGGCTTCCCTGGTGGCGCAGTGGTTGAGAGTCCGCCTGCCGATGCAGGGGACGCGGG